ACGATAATAATCTAGGAACGCTTTGAAAAAATGAGATTTTTTAAAATCTTATAATAAATTTATTAGAAGTTATATTAAACTGATGCAATTGAATATATATATATATATATATATATATATATATACATATATATATATATATATATATATATATATATACATATATATATATATATATATATATATATATATATATATATATATATATATATATATATATATATATATATATATATATATATATATATATATAAATATATATATATATATATATATATATATATATATATATATATATATATATATATATATATATATATATATATATATATATATATATATATATATATATATATATATATTACAGCAATACACTCTCACTATCAGATAGTGGGCATTGATTTTCATTATCTTGGCGAAATTCATTTTCATCGCTCAATAGTGGGCTTTGCTCAATTGCGGTTTTATTCTTTCTGCTGCCTTCTCTATCAATGGCCGTTGCCAGAAAGTTGTCGATTTTTTTTTTAATGCTTTTGTCATAAGCGTTTTCAAACTTTTTTTATGGCAGCTGCAAAAAAATTTTAAGTTGATAATGTTAAACAAGACATGAACAAAATGTAATCAAAAATATCAAACTTATTAATTCAACTAAATGCGAAGATAAATAATTAAATAAATTACCTATAACCACCTTGCATCTTGTAAGAGACGAAAATGATTTTTTTGTTTCCTGCCATACATAGATTATAACAAGCATACTTTTTTAGCCATTAGTTGTTTTTAAGCCGTAATAAGTTACTTGTAATCGTCGCCTGCAACCGATGCAAGGAAGTTCATCTAAAACAAAACAAAAAACTAAAAACAATCGAGTTTGTTTACAAAAATATTTAATTGGTTGTAAATATTTAATTGGTTTGATTAGGTTTCCATAATGTTACAACTTCATTATCTATAATGAGATATTCAAATATGACATGGAGAAAAAGCAATTTGTTACAAATAGATGCAATCTATGAGGTCAACCTGTTTTGGTGATCAAGACTTATTGCCATAAATGTTTTTGTAAAGTGATAAAAACACTAGGAAGAATACCACACAAAATTTCATACAGGTTTATTAGCTTCTCATACCCCTACCAATAATTACACAATATATTGTGTAAAAAATCTGATACTATAGTACCAAATTTTTCATTCACTAACATAGGTTGTCTTTACCACAGCAAAAAAATCGGGGTGAATGCAATCTCAAGTATCTAATTTAAGACTTCCTATGATTAGTAGGCTCATTGCTCTACTAAATGAGTTAACTGGGCATAAATGGTTAAAACCACAACACAATTTAATTAATATACTTTATATAAAGCATTCTTTTCCATATCTTAATTAAAATGAAATGTATAGTATATTTTATATATTAAAGATTCAAACAAATAACCCATCAAGGTAATCCTTTACCAGCAAATCGGGTGCCTAAAGCAGCCACAACAGTTGCCAAGCTCTGGTCAGAAGAGGAAAATATCGGTAGAGAACGATTCGAACTAAATGGCTCAATATATCGAACAGTAGTGGGTTGTAAAATATTTGGGCAATTAAAAGATTTTTTCAATCTTGGGGAAACTGATGGATATGTCTCCTCAGTGTCACTTGTATTGCAAACTGCTAACTTTTTAGCTAGTGGCATGGACAATTTTTCATCACTATCAGCAGCTGTTTCAACGCTGGATGTGAGTAAGTGTTGCTTCGCGTATGGCACTTAAAAGGCGAGATGATCGCAAGTGATACGGCCAACGCACTAAACTTTCATTGATCAGCCATGACAAGCAGATAACGTCCATGGCACACATGCTTTTTTTTTTTTTTTCATCAAGTAATTCAACCACAGCAAATTTTTTAAACTTTGCTGCCATCTTTAATTTTACTGTACAACATGTGTATAAAAAAAAACATAAACAAATTTGAAAAAATAAAAAAAATTAACAAGCGTAATAAAGGAAAAAAAAAGTTTTTAGTTTAGTGGTTCCACACTTGTGTGTAGTAAGTGACTGGGGCCCCAGCCCCAGCCAAATTTAGGTCTTTTTACAACCCCAGCCATAGCTAAATAATAGTTCTAGCAGGAGTTATAAGATGGGGCTAGGAATTTTTTTTTATGCTATTTTGTTTTTTAAGATATAAAAAAGTTAAATAATATATCTGTTATGAAAGGTAAGAATCATAGGAAAATCATAAATATATATAGATTCAGGATCCCATACATTGTAGTAGTTTAAATTAGGTGAAACAAATTCTTCAGGAGCCCCACATAAAGATGTAGTATATGAAAGTGCTCTTAAATTGTATTTTGTTTATTTAAAATAAAAATAATTATTCTAATATAAAAAAGAATAGCCTTTATAAAACTATTGCAGTTTTAAATTTTTTTATAACTTTTGTATTACTTTTACATGATTATTTAATATTATCATTTATATTACTATTATTATTACTATTTTATATTATTATTGTTATTATTGTTAATATTATTTCGATCAGCCAAAAAATCATAAGAATTTTTATATAAACATATTATGATTAATGACTCATCACTGAAGTTTATTGCAGTTTCGCAGTTAAGTAAGTCATTCGTATTTTCAGCATTACTTATTGAGTGAATTTCACCTAAACGTTGCATCACTAATCTTTTAATATAATGTGATTTAGCAGATCAAGTTGGGGTCATTGATTTTTTCATTGCCTATAACATTGTATTACACTTATACATTATATATATATATATATGTATATATATATATATATATATATATATATATATATATATATATATATATATATATATATATATATATATATATATATATATACATATATATATATATATATATATATATATATATATATATATATATATATATATATATATATATATATATATATATATATATATATATATATATATATATATATATATATATATATACATATATATATATACATATATATATATATATATATATATATGTATATATATATATATATAAATATATATATATATATATATATATATATATATATATATATTATATATATATTTATAAATATATATATATATATATATATATATATATATATATATATTATATATATATATATATATATATTTATATATATATTTATATATATATTTATATATATATATATTTTAATTTATGTAAAAGAAGCTGTTGATAGCTGTGTCCATAACATTATTTACAACAAGCTTAAAAACATTAGTACTTGTAAAAAAATTCTAAAATAGATCTCTTTGTTTTTAATTAGCAGAAGGCATTCAGTTGTTATTGGGAGTTATACATAAAAAGAAAGAGTAGTAAAGTTGGGTGTTGGTCTAGGAACATATACGAGTCCATCACTTTTTAAAACTCATTTTCATGACCTACCTATTTTTTACTGATGACACAACAATAATTTTAAAGGCTCTATTAAACAGTTACAAGAAATATGTTGCAGGGACTTAGGTTTTACTTAATTCATTAGGTATTACCCCTTTCAGTTTTTAAGTTAAAATTATCTTAATACCGAAGAAATTATTAATAAATAAATATATTTGCTTTGTCTTTTTGTTATTTACTAAATAATGCTTTAATAAAAATTGTATCTTTTAATAAAACCATTTTTCGCAACTTTGGATTATTGTTCAAGATTATATTATCAATATTATTTGTTTTTAATATTGGTTTGAAAGCATATATTAAATTATACCCAATATTATTTAAAAACGGCGTACCTTTTCTTTTTGCTATGGCTCGTTTTTGGCCAAAGTAATTATCTGACGAATCTTGTTATAGTTATTCAAACCACACTGGAAACCAATTTTTAAAAAGTATTTAGCAATATCAGTAACTAAATTGACAGTAACATTTATTGTTTTTATAGGTTAGCCAGAAAAAATATACAAAATGCTTTTATATAAAATATGTAAGTCTGTATATAATTGTTAATATATATGAATTACGTTTTTCGGTTTTTTAACATTTTTAAAAACTGAAATAAGGTTAGACACAATTGTATTTAATATTGATCTTTTAAATTAAACTAAACATTTAAATATTAACTTTCATTTGCTTAAAAAAAAAAGTTGATTTCTTTGATTTGAGCTATAGAAACATGAAAAACTACTATATCCTGCATAAAGGAGGATTTAGCAATGAAACGATCTCAACTGGAAGAATTATGAAAGATAGAGAACCTGTCAATCAAAACAAAAAAGTTTTATTTAGATTAACACTTGCGTCTCTTTAAAATGTGTGGAAGGAGGGTGCGCATCCCCTATCCCCTTTCCCTGAATTCGTCACTGTTTAGTATCGTTGTTCAAAATATGCAAATTGTTTCTTACAAAATTTATAATAACCTTTGAAAACATTAGGTTTCCGTTGCATTTTTAAGTTTAATTTTATCAAATAACTATTATACAATTGATACTAAAAGATTATATTTGATTATTTAAAGTTTTAGATTTTAGATTTTCACTTGTTAAAATAGCGTTATAATAGTACTTTTATAGAACATTCACAAAATATAAAAATATTTTTTTATTTTTATTTTATAAAATTGAATCATTTATAACAATGCAACAAATTAGATAAATACTTAATTGGTTGAATGCGTTTGAATACTCTTATTTTTATTACAGATAATAATTCATGTTAAAGCTAAAGGACAGACGTTTACAAAAAAAATAATATCACAAAAAAAAAATTTCGGAAACAAAATACAATTTAATATTATCTCATTATTACAACACTACTGAGCAACCTTTTGAATCAATAACTCAATTTCAATTGAGAAGAAAAAAAGGTAACTGTTTTTCTTAAAAAGATTTTTTATCTGAAAGTTTTTATAACAAATGACAAAATACTAAACTTGGCATTAATATCGTAGCACCATTGAATCCAAAAAATGGTGCTTATGGCATAATACAGTAATACATATTTTCTTATTCAACTTTTAAAATTTAAAACTTTTAATTTTTAAATTTAGTCAAAAATTCTTCAAATTCTTCAGATTTTTAAGTCTTATTAAAAGATTTTTTCAGATTTTTAAGTCTTAACTAGTCAAGTTAATTACAGAAGGAAAAAGATTTACTTTTTAATCAAAAATTTGTTCAATAGACTATATCATTTAAAATACTTAATTTTATCTTTTAAATATCGTTTGAAGTAAAAGATTTTATTGTCAACAAAGATTTTTTATGCATGCATAGAATATGTAGCTACATGGCACATAATAATTTAATTCGGCGCTACCTGCCTTCTTGAATAAATAATGTTTAGACTAGTTAACTACAAAGAAAGTGGCCAGCTGTATCTAGTTTTAGTTTAGAACTATTATTTTATTTTAGAAACGTTTTAGTTTAAAATTATGATTTTAGTTTAGAAACGAAACATTGTTTCAGTATCTAAATTTTATTTTAGAAAAGAAACGAAAAATTGGTTCCATTTATCATATTATTTTACTTTTCAATTGATAGTTAATTTTGTATCATGAAAAGCCGTTTGCTATAAATTTTTAGTATAGCGTTATAGAAAATGATTTCTGTCAATAATCAACTAATCAATTTATTGTGAATAACTTATGTTCTTCAGCTATATTTTAAAACAAAAAAAAAAAAGCAAGATATTTACTAACTTAATATTCAGTAAAAAAAAATACGATTGCATTGAGTAAATTGTTTTGATTAAACAGCATAGCCGATACGCAATAAATAAGCTGATTTAAATTCTTACAATAGCAAAGTTCTTACAATAGTAAAGTTTGTACAATAGTAAACCAGTATATAATTTTTTTTTTTTTTGTATTCTAAACTAAATCTGTTATTGTAAACTTTAACGTAATAAACTTTTAATAGTCAATACAGAAAAAAGTATAATCTGAAGTTTATAAATTCATGTTGACAAAAAATGCCTAATTTTTACTAAAAAATTTTTAAAATGTATGAAGTATTACATTTTTAGTAGGATGATACTCGTTTAAGTAGCAAAAGGGGACATTACAAATTAAAATTCTTTACATCTCTAATTTAAATAAAATACGTAGGGGGTATAAGTGTTAAAGAAATCATAAAGACATTTATACGATTGTTTATTGTAATGTAATTTTTCAGCATCTATAAAAGGTAAATAGTTCAAACATTTTACACAATTGTGTCAGTCTATTGTACCTGGTGGGTGTGCATTGTCCTAAAAACGACCGTTGGAGTCTTGCGGACGTTTGAATGTCTTTGAGACGTCCGACAGACTATGCCTGGGGCATGCATGTCCACTGGGTAAAAAAATTTAATCTGAATGCAATTTTAAATAGAAGTGCAAGGGACTGTTTCAAGTTAAATTTTTTCCCCACATACCACCTGGTTGAATATAGAGTTAGACAATCAAATGGCCCCGCAAACTACAAATTTTATTGACATTTTACAATTAAGGGAAGTACTTCGTGAATCAAGCTATTTTAAACCAATTGGTTTTCAAACTTAAAACTCGATACTGTTCATAATTGCAAGAAATGTTTCAAGTATTGTCGCAAGAGTTGCAACTGCTACCTATTAACTACCTACTATTTACTAACTGGTACTGTCTTCTGCTGTTACAATAATGTTTCAAACCTCAAATAATTTTTAAAAGTTCATTTGGATTCAAGATGTCACCTATTCTTGTAGCGCAACTGCTGTCAATTTACTTTTGTTTCAAACACTAAATGAATGGCAAACAAAAAAGTCTTTTCGTAAATACTTGAAGAAAACAAAAGAATTGAATTAAAAACAAGTTATGTGACTAGTGATCACTTTTATGATAACCGCAACAACTATATAAATTAAAATTTCTTTTAATGGTGCAAGAAAAGTTCAATGTATATAATAAATTTTCCACCAAATGATAGACGTTTTTATATTTGGAGCAACGAAGTATAGTTGGAAAAATGAAGCATGTGATTGGAAAAGAATAATTCAAAAAACAAATTAAGGAGATGTTTTTCGAAAAAATTTTAAAGTTGACAAATAATTATTTCATAAAGCTAAATAATATTACAAACGGTTTTTAAGAAAGGGGCATTTGTCCATTTAATTATGAAAGAGTAGATTGCTGTCTTTAGAAGAAATAATTATGGCATATCTATTCAAAATATAACGATTATCAGTAACAAAGACACAATCCAACTACTTAGCACAATTTTTACACATGTAGCTTTAGAAAACTCATAAATATCATTTTTGGATTAAACCCTGATGTATTAGTTATTGCTGCAAAGATATATTAAGAAAAAAATACTTAACCCTTAGACTCCGCTTAACCTTTTTTTCTCAGCGCGCAATAATTTAAGCTATTGTTGTAGGTATATAAAAAATTGGATTTTATTATGCTATCGTTATGAGTATATTTATATAACATATCTATAAAAAAATTCATACAGTGTTGATCTTAAAAACTTTTTTTTTTAACAAATATTTTTCATTGCACTTTTTTCAATAAATTGACTTTTATTGAGAAAAAGACCGTAGAAAATTTATATATAGGTTTTAAAATCAAATCCCTCATTTAATCCCTATGACTTCCGTTGTTTAAGAAGTATAGCTAAAACATATAGTGATAACAGTTGTATCTTTTAAAATTTTAAATTTTGAAAAATTGTAGTCATAATTTTAGCAAAACTATGAGTAAATACTTAAGGAAATCAACAAAATATTTTGTTGCTTTGAAAATATATTGACCCAAAAAACATAAAAACGCGTTTCGATAGGGGAGTTATAACTTAATATATATAACTATATACAAATAATGTCTACAAAACAAGAATGTCAATAAATGTGAATAACAATTTAGATTTCAATTCATATGTTTAAATTTACTTTTAAGGGTAAAAAAATACACTAAAGTGTATATCCAATCATAATGAATCAGTTATTTATCATTAGAATCATTTTTATGAATATTTTTTAACTCATCAATAATGTTTTTAACTTGGGATTGCGTCAATCCACAACCTTATGAAGTCATAGTGTACCTGATTTTCAGAGTGAAAATATAACCAAAGCTTATAATAAAACCAATAGAGTTTTTCTGGATTATTGTGAACCATTAATTCGAAATTAAAGTTCAGAATTCCAATTCGACCTTTTATTTTTAAGTTTAAAAGTAAAGTCGAGAAATAATATCGGTGAAACTTTTTTATATATTTTTTTATATAATTTTTTTTTTGTTGACAACCACCATTACAACTTTTGTTACACATTCAACACAATCCATTGCTCTCTGCATGTTTTTACATCAAAATTTTATTTTTTGTTAGACCTATTTACAAAATCCCGCTTTGGTTGCATATTCACTATCTTCTTCATAGGTTTTGATTTGTCAACACAGTAAAGACCACTACAATTAAAACCACTTTTCAGAAGTTTGCTATCTATCTTATTGACAAGAGCTTTTAGTAAAGTTAGAAATACAGAATTGTCAACACTTTTGTCTGTTTTCTCTAAACCAATTTTTATGGATTTTCTTCTAATGGGATTTCAATGGAGCAAAAAACTAAAATCAAAAGATTGCAATGCGTGACTCGTGTTCAAATGAAAGCAAAATAAAATTAGATGATTGTCTAGAGCCTTTTCAACAGTAGAATATGTTATACGGCTATTGTGTCCATTATAGAAGCAACACAGGCTTTTCACAATTCTTTAGATTTATAACAAACCTGCCAATCCAATTTTCAAAAATATAGTCCTCCTACCAACCTGAATTTGTTACACCATACATTACATTTTTTATTCCATTTTGACAACATACATCATAAAGGTGGATGGATTTGTAGACAACAAAGGGAGGTAGACACTGGCCATTTCCTGACCCACAAAAACAGTAAAATTTACATTGATTTACCGCGTGATGAAGCAATGTAATTTGCTGTTTTTGGTGTATTTTGAACAAAAATATTTCCTGCTGTTCGATTTGTACGTAAGTCTGTTTCACCTAAATTAAATGTGGTCTATTAAATAGATTATTATCGTTTAATGTTTTCTCATGTAAATCAATAAAATCTATAAATGTTTTAAGAGTAAAATCATTAGCTCTTGCTTTTGTCAAAAGTTCAGGTTTTCTTTTTACAAGAACTGCATTCTATTTTTTTTCAATGTATCAATCTTTCCGTGGCTTATTATCTTTGAAGTATCTTTGAGTTTTTTTTGCCAGTAACTGTTATATAAGATTTAACCATCATTTAATATCTTCTCTATCCTGTGGAAAACCTCTATTAGCTAGGTACATCAGGGCTAAAAGTTTTATCAGCTTCTACTAAAGGTTTTACTTTGGTATTACTTAAAACAATCCCACGACCGCTTTCATTTTTTTTTTGTTATTCCTCTGGCTTTGATCATGGGATTCCCTGTATAATGCCCCATAAACAATTGCAGAAAACTTCGATACATTGTAAACTGTTCCCCTTCTTTCACAATCTTTATGGCAGTCATTAATTTGCTGTGGTCGTATATACCAATAGTCTTGCGTTGATATTCACGAGATATGATAGCTTATTTCAGTGTTATTACTTTCTCTAAAATATATAAAATAAACTTTAATTTTATAAAAACTAAATTTTAAATATAAAATAAAGAGGAAAATAAAAATAAAATATAAAACATATAGATAGGAGTTTTACCCCAGCCATATAGGTGAAAAAAGTTGAAGTATGATCTTGATCTAAGATCATTGTTTTACAATCTAAAAATACTAAATGTGTACCAAATAAATATATATCATCTTCTGATTTTTATGTATAAAATTAATAACAATTCAATACCAAATATCTTCAAACCA